ACTCCCCCACCCCCACTCCCCCCACCCTGCACAGCGGTCCTGCCCTGCCCGGGCCCTTCGCTGCTGAGGAGCTGGCTCCTCTCACTAATCTCCCTCTGAAATCTCATGGAAGGTTCTGTTCCTGCCCCGGGTCAGGGTGTCCCTGTACCTGTGACCCTACAGACCGCTTGGGCTCGGGGTCCCTGGACCCCCTGAGGGTCAGAAAGCCCCACCTGAGCTCAGGAACCCACTCTCCCGGACGCGCTAGCCCACATTCGCCCCCTGGGCCGCGTCCCTCCTCCAGGTGGGAAGGTGAGAACCCGCAGGGGAGGGCGTCCTGGGGCTGAGCTGGCTAAACAAGTGGCATGGACAGCGCCTCCCCTCCTCCCCCAACACCCACGGCTCCTCCAGCCGTTGAAGGACCCTGGTCTCTGACCCCGGCCACAAGAAGCTGGTGCTGCCAGCATGGTGCCCACAGGCTCCACGTCCTGTCCACTTCACGTGGGGACAGTGCATGCCTGTGACCACCCGTGGGCCCCTCCCGGCTCTGCCGGAGACCCTGCCCCCACCAGCTCCAGTGCCCAGGCACCCTTACACCTCACCCCGCCTTGGCTGCGGGACTGGGCAGGCCAAGGGCCTCCCTGAGCCTGGCCCTGCCACCAGCCAACTCAAGATAACGGGGCGCTGGTCGTGAAGGGCTGCCAAGAGGTGACCGTGTAAACACACACAAAGCGTCTGCAGCACCGATGAATGCGGGCTCCGCTGTCGTCACCGCTCGCCCTCCAAAGCTGGGCGCATGACAAAACCTGAGCTCGCCAGCTTGGTGCTCGGCATTTCAGCGGGTCCGTCCTAATCCCACCCCATCGAGCACACAGGTGGTCTGAAGGGAGCAGGACAGCCCCAGGCGTTCGCCAGGCTGCTGAGCCTGCGAGGGCTCAGAGCCCTGCCCCCCTGAGTGGCAGTTACGCTGAGGACAGGACACCCCTCCTGGAGAAGCCTGGATCCCGGAGCCCTGGGGCGGCCCTCTCACGGCTCGGGGCTCACCTGCCTCTCGCTGTGCTTGCCGTGGATCTCCACGAAGTCCTCCTGCACCTTCACGGTGAGGTCCTCCGGGGAGAAGTGCTTCACGTCCAGGAAGATGGCAAACTTGTCCCGGTCGGATCGGACCTGGAACCCAAACGCTCATGTGGGCCTCCCTGGGCCGAGGCTCGGGGAGGGGACTGGCTGCTGTGGTCCCTGCCGGGCCGCGGCCAGAGTGACCAGGGTGGAGTGGCCGGCGGCTCCGTCCCCAGTTATCAGGACAGACACTGCAGGTCACAGCGCTGGCCTCTCCTTAGACCAGGGGTGGGCAAACTTTTTGACTCGAGGGCCACAATGGGTTCTTAAACTGGACCGGAGGGCCGGAACAAAAGCATGGATGGAGTGTTTGTGTGAACTAATATAAATTCAAAGTAAACATCATTACATAAAAGGGTACGGTTTTTTTTTTTTAGTTTGCCCACGGCTGCCTTAGACACACGCAGGGGACCAGGGACCGGGGCTGTGTGGACACTCGGCTGACAGCCAGACCTGGGTGCAAGGCGGTGGTGTCTGCGGATGTCTGGTTGGTAGCGGGCCTGCTGCCCGGTTGCAGCCGGGCAGCTGCTGTGGGCTGGCTGGCTGGTTGGCTACTGGTTGGCTGGCTGGTTGGTTGGTTGGTTGGGTAAGGTTGGTTGTTGGCTGGCTGTCTGGGTAGGTGGACCTAGCACCTGGACTAAAGCCGCTACCCTGGCTTCCCCTGACCGCCATCAACAGCCTGGGGCCCTGTCCTTTCCCATCGACTGGCCTCGCCCAACAGCCCACGAGGTGGCCGCCACCTGCACACAGAGCACTTCCGGGCGCTGCTCCTCCTCACGCAGAACCAGTGTTTAGGCCAGCCGTGGGCAAACTACGGCCCGCGGGCCGGATGCCCGTTTGAAATGAATAAAACAACAACAACAAAAAAGACCGTACCCTTTTATGTAATGATGTTTACTTTGAATTTATATTAGTTCACACAAACACTCCATCCATGCTTTTGTTCCGGCCCTCCGGTCCAGTTTAAGAACCCATTGTGGCCCTCGAGTCAAAAAGTTTGCCCACCCCTGGTTTAGGCTGTTCTGGCCGCTGGGGTAGATCCGCGTGTGTCAGCTCTGGGCAGGCCTGCGTTCAGACCAGGGTGGGGACTGCCCAGCCCTCGGGCCGCATAAGGCCCCTGGAATCGTTTGGTCTGGCCCTGCTACTAGTAAGGCATTAGGGGTGAGTTCATGAAACGTTCGACCAAATAGAGCAGGCTAATATTTAAGTTGATCATTCTGTATGGCCGCGAGTGATGTTATAAATACCCAAATGGCCCCTGGCAGGAGAAAGGTCCCACCCCCGGTTTAGAAGGTGGGCGGACCTGGCACCCAGCACTCGGGGCCTGGGGTCCGCTCTCGCTGCCTTTCCTTTGGGCCTGGCCTTGGGCACCTGGGCCGGTGCGGGATGAGCCCACTCTGTGCCTCTCCGCTGGCCGCCCAGGGCTCCCGTAGGCCCTCCGCTGGGGACCTGGGCAGCACCCGCCTGTGGGGAGCCGATATAGGGTTAAGCCGCGGACTGACCTGTTGGCAAAGTCACAAACAAGTCCCAGCTTAGAGGGCACAGTCCTCTTAAGCATAATTAGGCTTGACCTTATGAGGCTCCCTAGATCTTATCTGGGAAGCTAATGGGCTGAGGGAAGTGCAGCAAGAACAAGAACAAAAACAAGTGAAACTCACAAGAACAGTGTAACTATGGTAACCACTACCTTGTTTACCTCTGACTATAAAATAAAGGCTCAGTTTGCCTCCGGATCTCTCTCTGTGGCCTCAGCCAGGCACAGGAAGATCCACGGAGACTAAAGAGAGCTAGAGAGCTATGAACGCTGTCTCCGTGTAAATCATTCTTCGCCGACTCTGTCCACACCTTTGGGAACCCCTGGCCCGCTGGGCCTGGACCCCGGCACCCCAATATTTCCAAATTATCTCTTGTCTCTTCTCTTTCATTTGTGTGCGGCTCCTCTTCCAGATCCTGAACCCTGAATCACACGGGACGTGGAGGGAAACATTTACAACACGCCCCCACCCAGGCTTCTGCTGCTGAACACACAGCTCACGTCGGCCATCGAACTTGCCTTGGTGGGGTTGCTCTTGGGGCTTCCAGCATGTGGTTGGTGTATTACAAACCACATATGGGTCATGAGCTGATGGAGGAAAAGACAGCGGTCGGGTCCAGGCTGGCTCCCTCTCGACCCCTCTCCGGAGGCACAGGAGTCTCTGCTGTAGGGGGCGCCCAACGGGCCTCTGCCGTCAGGAGGGACTGGGGCGAGGGGGGAAGCGCCCCGCAGCTGTCCCATGCACGCCACACAGTGAGAGGAGAGCTCGGAGCTCCAGGGCAGCCCTCGGAAATCCCAGCCACTGGTCCTCCAGGCACCCTGCCCAGCCCTCCCCGACCACCCGCCTCACCTCAGAGATGCCAGAGTCCAGCACGGTGCGGAACAGGGACTGGCGGTAGTAGGGGCTGACGGTGGAGGACAGGAAGGGCAGCAGGTCGCACTCGAAGAGGCCCTCGCCGAAAAACTGGTCGAAGAGCCGGCTGGGGTGGAAGGGGCCCAGGGCGCGCCTGAACCAGGGGTGCTGGATGGCGATATCCATGGTGGGCGTCGGGGCTGCAGGACCCGGGACTCAGCAGGCCTCTGGGTGGCACAGTGGGGAGCTGGGCGCGGGGCCCTTCCTATATACGCCTGGGAAAGGATGCAGGCGTCAGGGGATTCGTCCGAAAGCGTGAGCTCATGAGGGAGGCTGTCCAGTCAGCAGAAACGGGGCCTGGCTGAGAGCCCGGGCACTGACCTGCAGGCACCCCCAGCAGCGGCTCTCCTAGCGGCTCTCGGCCACCCCTCGGCCACCCCTCGCCTGGGGGACAGTGAAGGCTCATCCCTGCCACCGGATGCATTCCCGCCGTCTGCCTGTGTGGTCCTGTGTGGTCAGGGCCACCCTCCCTGTGGTGCTCAGCCCCGTGTCACAGACAAGGAAACTAAGACACAAGGCTAGACACGTGGTCCCCGACCCCACAGCTACCAGGTGAGGGCACAGTTTTTCAAAACAGAATTACCTCTATCACTTCTTCCTGCCAACAAAAGTTATGCACATTTGTAATTAAGAAATTTGTAATTTCTGTCTCAGGAAAGACAGGAAATACCACGCAATGAAAGGGCCTGTCATTCCGGCCCGGGGGTCCCTATCGTGGCGTCTGTGTGCATCCAGAGGGCCGGCAAGTTCACTGTTACGATCGTGGAACACCCCTGGACCTTCCTCCGTGGGTTCACCCTGGTGTCGACCCTGCTGATGTGTCCTTCCTGGGCATGACGTCCCTTAAACCAGGGCCCCGTCAGGCCTGCCACCGTCAGCCAACACAGTGATCGGCAAGGCCTGGCCCTTCTTGGCTTCTCTATGGCCTGTCCACTTATCGCTCAGGATGCCTTCCCCGAGGGGACCTGCCACCCATCAGCTTTTTTTAAAAAATATTTTTATTGATTTCAGAGAGGAAGGGAGAGGGAAAGAATGATAGAAACATCAATGATGAGAGAGAATCATTGATTGGATGCCTCCGGCATGCCCCCTACTGGGGATCGAACCCGCAACCCAGGCACGTGCCCCTGACCTGAATCGAACCTGGGACCCTTCAGTCCACAGGCCGACGCTCTATCCACTGAGCCAAACCAGCCAGGGCCATCTGTCAGCTTCTAGACGTTTGATGTTTCCCGGTGTTAGGGCTTTTGATGTTTGTCGGTAGCGTGGCCTCTGGGGAGCGTTGTACTAACTCACACCCACCCATAGCAAAGGAAAATGCCGTCCCCACCCCCTGGGAGCTTGGTGATGGGCAATCCAGACGGTGAGAAGTTTCTTACTCATCTTTGTGCCTCCCCAGTCAAACCCTGTGTGGGACGCACGCACCCTCACGGCCACCCTCGCAGGCCGTCCCCGTCGCAGTGTCTCCCAGCCCCGCTCAGCCTGCCCTCAGCAGCTTGGCATTCTGCAGCCCCGGCGCTGACTCGGTCCCCCTCACACAAAGGCCGCTATGTGCTTGGTCTGCAGGATTCCCGTGAGGCCAGCAGTCTGCCGCGCAGGCACAAAGCCCAGCACCTGATTTTCCACCCCAGGGCCCAGCAGGGCTCACCCACAAATCCGCACTCTGTAGGTGATGGGCATTGCTGTGGGTCAGCAGGAATGCATTCAGCTAACCCGACTCCGTGAGGTCGGCAGGCTGTCTGGACAGCCCACTGCCAACCCTACCACGACCCACCATGTCCTAGAAGCTGGCCATGCCCTGCCAGCCCCTTCCAGGACAATCATTTAGCTATTTATCCATCTATCTTTCATCTATCATCTATCTATCTATCTATCTATCTATCTATCTATCTATCTATCTATCTTTCATCTATCTATCTATCATTTGTCTATCCATCTGTCTATCATCTGCATATTTCCCATCTATCTATTTATCTGTCATCTAGCTAGCTAGCTGTCATCTGACCTCCTTCTTTGAGAAACTCAGTCTTTGTTCTTGGCCTTCCACTGACTGAATGAGGCCCACCCATCATACAGATTATGGCAGGGAATCTGCTTTCCTTGGAGTCACTGACTTACACGTGAATCTCATATTACACACCTTCACACGGCAGCATCTAGACGTGTTCGACCATATAGGTGGGCCCCACAGCCCAGCCAAGGTGACAAGTTACATTAGCCATCACTCTTGGGGGACCTCGTTGCTATTCTCAAAGCCGTGGGGAAGGTGAGTGCTAGAGCTGAGGACAGGCCCCCTTATGTTACGGCTGCTGAGAAATCGCCAGAACCCACAGCAGCTGCAGAGAGATGACGGTGATTCTCGGAGGAGTCGGTGTCAACCTGCTCGAGCTGGGAGCTGTCTGGGGACTCCCACGTGAGGAGAAGAAACACAAGCGGCCCCCTGGCGCCTGGAACCAACCTGGCCCTCGTGGCCAGACCCAGTGGGTCCCTTGGGATGAAACCTCCCAGACTCAAGCCCAGATAAGGCTGCTCCAGACGTGATGGAAGGAGGCATAGCTGGGCCGCTGGTGATTGTGTCCAAGCCCAGAAGCAAGGTCGCTGTGCACTCACAAATCCCACCCACCTCCTCTCTTGCTAATGACGACCCACACTTCTGCTTTACCCGGCAAACTTGCCATCGTCCAGTCAGGTCGCCCATGGCCCCACCCGAACGTCTCTCCATGTTGCTAAGTCCAGCGTCTGTTCTCAGGCCTCTCCTGGTCCTGCTGCTGGGCAGCTGGCCAGCTGGTCACTCCCCCTTCTCAACGTGCCATCTCCACCAGGCTTCTTAGGGCCCACAGTGTCCTGCTCCTCCTCCCACCTCAGAGCTCCCTCCTCAGGGTCTTCTCCTAGTCCCAGCCATCAATATTGGGGCACCCCAAGGATGAGTGCTTGCACCCCTCTCCTTTCTATCCACACTCCTGCCAGGTCAATCTCATCAAGTTGAATTCTCCAAATGCTGCTGGATTCTGAGCTCCCCACTGTGTGTCTGTCTGGGGTGTTTGTTATGCAGCATTACCACAGCAATAGCTGACTGATACACAAGGACTTCCTCCCATGACATTTCACATCCTCCTTCCCTGTTTTAAGTTTATTCCTTAACGTGCAATATACTTATTATCTGCCTTCCCTGCTAAGAGGTAAGCTCCATGAGGACAGCAACTGTTTTGTTCACCACCAGATCTCTGACACTCCACAGAGGAGGCATTGATTGGATGGATGACTAAATGGATGTGATGGGTCTGACATAGAAGTCTTGGGTGCAATGGGAGCCTATAGGGGAGCCATTAACCAGGCCCTCGAGGTCAGCGTGGGCTTTCCAGAGGAAGCAACAGCAATCTCAGGCAGCCACAGGACCCACCAAGAGGAGGGTCCTAGAGATTATTCCTGTCACCCAAGTGGGGAAAGCCACCTGGAATAGGTAGGAGTGGGTGGTGGTCATTAGGAGAAGGGGAAACAAAATGACCCGTGTACATGATCAAGGCTCCCACAGTGGGCGAGCTCTCCCATGAGTCTGCCTCTCAAGCCACTTCTGTGTAAATACTGGTGTAACTGCATTTTTATAAGCAGCTACTATGCGCTATGCTAACTGAACACAACCACAAAAAAGGCAGCTCCTGCCTTCAGAGAGCCTTAGCCCCATAGGAGAGGCAGACTGTCAGTCAGGGAGAAACATAAGCAAGAACAGAGACAGGACAGAGACAGAGAGGTGAGTGCCGAGTCCACACTTCGCAGGGCAGGCCAGTGGGCTGGAAGATCAGGCTGGGTCCATGCTGCAGGCTTGAGGCAGAATTTCTTCTTCCCCAGAAAAACTTGGGTTTTGCTTTTAAGACCTTTTTCTCTTTTTATTTTATTTTTTTTTTTTTATTGATTTTTTACAGAGAGGAAGGGAGAGGGATAGAGAGTTAGAAACATCGATCAGCTGCCTCCTGCGCGCCCCCCACTGGGGATGTGCCCGCAACCAAGGTACATGCCCTTGACCGGAATCGAACCTGGGACCCTTCAGTCCGCAGGCCAACGCTCTATCCACTGAGCCAAACTGGTTACGGCTTTTTCTTTTTAAAAAAAAATTTTTTTTATTGATTTAAGAAAGGAAGGGAGAGGGAGAGAGAAACATCAATGAATGATGAGAATCTTTCATTGGTGGCTTCCTGCACTCTCCCTACTGGAAAATTGAGCCTGCAGCCCGGACATGCGCCCTGACCAGGAATCAAACCATGACCTCCTAATTCATAGGTCGACGCTCAATCACTGAGCCACACCGGCCGGGCTTAAGACCTTTTCGACCGATTGAATGAGGCCCATCCGAAGAACCTAGATTCGTCGCTTTCACTTAAAGGTGGTAGATGTTAATTAACCACATCTACACAAGACCTTCCCAGCAACAGCCCGCTGAGCGATTCAACCACTGGGGATGGTGTAGCCTGACCCTCTGTGGTGGTGATGGTCACACAGCAATGTGACTGCACTTTGTGCACAGAACAGTACACTAGAAAGGGCAAAACACTGGATTTTATATCATGTATATTTTACCACAATTTTGAAACACTGACCATCACAGCTCTGATCCACGAGTGTGGATGCCTGAGGACCACCCAGGAGGCGTGGACAAACGCACCAGGAGCCCAGAAGACAGCCCTCGCGCCAGGGATGGCTGTGGCTAAAGTCGGTTCCACGTTGCAAATATCATTTTGCAGCAACTGCTGAGCTGTTTTCAGGAGACACAGCAATGGGTGCCGCAGCCCCAGCGTGTCCCCGTCTTCCCCTCACAGCACAGCCACAGCTGGCTCTCTTTCCCATTTTTAACCAGCTGTTCAGCAGACTCATGCCCCCTCCTAGACGACTGTGCCCTCACCCTCCGACCCCTCCGATGCTGGCGCCTTCATTCTGCTTTGGCAGCTCTCCCGAAACAGAGTCCGGCTGGCAGGGGTTCCGGTCCTTGCCTTTGACCATCTCAGGACATAGTTTAGGGCCAGAGAGGAAGGGAGAGAGAGAGAGATAGAAACATCAATGATGAGAGAGAATCAGCTCAGGTCAGGTCAGATTTTGCAGCAACTTAAATCTTAGCACCAAACTTATAAGGGGAAAAAAAAAAACCTTTCCGATTTATTTATTTATTTGTTTGTTTATTTGTTTTTAGCGGGGAAAGGAGCATTGA